TATATATATATATATGATGTATATCAGATTTTGTACTAACTTTTCAATATACTAGAAAGTTATTTACTTACCATTCTCTCTATGATGTTCATCTTCTCCTCTCAAACTCAATTTACTCGTTTGGGCCTCCATTAATGGAAGACAAGTTGTGACTGAGATCAGCTCAACTCACAGGGATTACCAATTACCATCAGAGAATAAAATATCAGAAAACAATGGAGAAATATTTTTAGAGCTTATTAAACAAGTACCCGTAAAGAGGGGGAACAAACAGTCAAACACCCTCAAAGAAAGGATAGTAATCTTTTAGCTTTTGGTAAATGCACATACAACAAGTGGATGATACAACATTTACAGAACAAAGTGTTTACAACATTCTCTCAAGAATGATCAATCTGTTAGCAAAGAAATCAATGGTTAGCATTCTGTAGTTTACTCTCCTCTAACGTACAGCCCAGTAGAAATTCTCGCTGTACAAGTAATCTGTAAACTCTTAACCTATGAATTTGGTACTTCCAGTGAGCTCTACCTAACTAATCTAAGCGCCAATTACTTCCAGTCCCTACTACTACTTACACTATTTGCATGTGGAGAGTGGAGAAAAGGAATGTCAAAACTCCATTATGTCGGTTCTTGTTTATGTACAGCTATCTTCATCTACTAAGAGCTTTCAATTTATGCAAAAATTCTAGTGTCTCTTTATAAGAAGGATCACTTCGGCTCAAAGGCTTGCAGGAATTAATATGATCAGTTGACTCCAAAACCTGCACCAAAATGTGGGCAAAGATGAAAAACTCCACAGGTATAGAAGATAAAGGTCAATGATGGTTAATCAAAACATTGTCTAACACAACTCCATAAGTCAAGATGAATAAAATTGTGCAATAGCCTGCAGGATACATGCTTTCAAACGACTGGCTCATTAGAACAATCTTGCCATCCATTTTCACTATTAAGGACAAGCATCCGACTGTGCCACAGAGATCAGAATCAACTTCCCAATCTCCAAAATTCAGGTTTTATTTTTTTGCTCAAGCACGATTCAAGTTTTATTTTCGCTACTTACAGTAAAACCTTTTCAAAGAGCTTTACTCCCTTTCACCTACTAAAATTTTAGTTACTTCCAAAATAACATAAGTGACAACCACTTCAATGAGTGTGTCAAATTATCTCTATGAAAGATGAGATAGGAAGTTCCATGTTTTCTTTATCATATTTATTTCTATACTAAACTGCCAAAAAATCGTTAGGCCCCAATAATTGAGAAAAGAATGCTCTAACTAATATGATCGCGTTACCAAAAAAAAATCTAGAAAAGAATAAGAAAAATAACAGCCCCACTGATGTGATCTGTATGCTCAACCACAAAGTGCAAGCAATCGAAATGATAACTGCAAACTATTGCAACAAATATATGTGCCTGGTAATCATCAATTTGAGCAACTTACAACTAATTTTCCAAATCCGGGATATGCCGACTCCAATGGTACAATTTCCATTCGAAAAGCCCAGCCTCCATAGCCTTCAACAATTGGAGTTACCTTG